AAGTAACAACATATCTTGTTTTAACCTTGATCAAATAAACCAACTTTATATTCCTTCCTTTACTTCTAACAGTCTTAATCTTCAGTTCATTCAAATATTGTCAAAGGATTTGATTTCTCTTAATTTCTTCTTTGTCCCATTGCACAGAGGTATTCAAGACTTTAACAAGCCTCTTTTGTAAATCCAGCAGGAAAAAATTATCCAGGTCACTCTCTTGGTTTGTTATTTGTATTTACTTTTTAAATTTTAAAACCTCAGCCAGTTTCTTTTGTAGATCCAGTGAAACATCCTTTTCTAAGTCACTCTCTTGGCCTGTCAGTTGTTAATCCACTTTTGATACCATCTCTATCTTGTCAGCCAAGATTTGTACTACATCTGTCATTCCTTCATTAACATCTTTTGGACATAGTCTATCCATAGAAACAGACATCATTACTGATATTGTTGATACTGTGGGTACTATTTTCTGATTCCATTGTTCAAAAGTCTCCTTCAGTATTTTCAGTATTATAATGCTTTGCAACATTTTACAGGCTTGTAAATCTTTCCTCTACCTAAAAACTCTAGTCCTCTCTAGTGCCCAGTTTTTGAAATTGCTCATCTTTGTTTTGTCTTGTAAAAAACAGAACAGAATCTATTTCCCACGATAAGCTGTTTGTTCTTTATAATTCCAAAATCTTACAGGTAGTCCTTGCTTAACAACCGTTCATTTAACAACAGTTCGAAGTTATGATGGCCGCAGAAAAAGTGCTTTACAATCTGTACTCACATTTACAACCATCACAAACTTTCACACCATCCTGAGCAGTCACGTGATCACAATGTGCAACCTTTTTTATGATGGTCATAAAGCGAATCACCATGGTTAAGAGACTCACATGGTCGTTATGCAAATTCCGGCAAAAAAGTCCATTGGGGAAGCTGGATTTGCTTAACTACTATGTGATTCACTTAACAACCACATGATTCACTTAACAAAACATGATTCACTTAATGACTGTCGTAAAAATGGTTGTAAAATTGGGTCCGGTCACATGGTGACTTGCTTAATGACCGTCCTACTTAATGACCAATTTTTTGATCCCTATTGTGGTTGTTAAGCAAGGACTACCTGTATTGTGAGTTTCAATATTCCAGTTTTATCTGGACCTTAGTCAGTTTATAACTTTCTAAAATCAAAATCTTATTTAGCTTTTTGCTGTTTATTTCAGATTCTTTAAATTCTTAAGCTTATGGTTAAAATTTTCTTTCATTCAGGATAGAAAGCAAACTCACCAGGTGTTTTCCAACTTGTCATTCCAAAGGTTTCTAGTAGTTTAGAAGTAGTTAATGAGCAATTTCTGAAAGTGATTAGAAAGTCAGGTTTGCAAATTTAGTGTCCTTTAGTAGTCCCCACCGCAGTTGTGAAGAAGATGGCTAAACCCATCATCTCCCAGCACTCAAACTCACGGAAAACCACTGTCCTGTGGTCTCCTCATGAGGAGCAGCCATACAAAGCATATGTGGGTGGTCTCCTGTCCTCTCCTTATCCGGAAAGGTTCTAAGGAACCTGTCTGCTCCCCAGTTCCTTGGTCTTTGCCACAGTTATCAGATCCGCTTTTGCAGAGCTGTCTTCAGTTTGCCCCGGAAGCCCCAAATGTATTTGTTGTTCATTGGTTTATCCTCTGTGCCCCTTTCTCTTTCATTTTATATGTTTTATTTATTGAATCCTATTACTGTATTGATGTTTTTACTGTGCTAGCCACCC